CCCAGCATGTTAATTACTGCAAATTGGACACCTTAAACCTACGGTCATTTGTACAGAATTTAATCTGGTTCCCTGATGCTCTTTCCAGCTACCTGTTCTCCTTTTTCTTCCAGTGTTTTTGTTGTTTTGGTTTGGTTTTTTTTCCATTTTTCTGTAGAAATATTTTTCCCTATTCTTCTCATTTTAACGTGTTTGAACCCCATACGCAGGGAGACCCTCAGGTTAGCTATTAGACCCTGTAGATACATGGAGACAACTCTGTCTTAAGTCTGGAACATCCAGATTCCCAAACATTTTCGTAGTGAAACTCTGCAGCTGAAAACTCTGCAAGAGATTTTGATATCCACAAACTATCCTACCAGAAAACATTGTCCTAAACCAGCCTTTATTTCTGTGGCAAGCAGGCACCATAATGCATGCTTTTCCTGCTCATCTGTCTGCTTGTATTTTGCAGGAAATCTGTGAGAATCCACGGTTTATTATCGGTGGAGCCAACAGAACAGATATCTGCCAAGGAGAATTAGGTATGAAATTCTTACTTCATCTCTGCACTTTTTGAAGTCTGCATCACTTAATTTTCTTCTGCTTCCAGGGTGATATTTAAAATCCTCCGTCTCAGTATAGCACATCTGCTGATTCCTTCTCTCCGTAGCATATCACTGGGGTCTGCCCAGTAGCAATCTAGGGAAGATCATTAAGCAAAAGATGCTTTGCAGGGTGTTTTGCTTTAAATGAACAAATACCGTGAGTGTGTTACAAAGCACCATTTGGCCTTTGTTTTAGGCTTTGAGGAGGGACAAAATTAGTTGAGAATAAGAGATAAAGAGGAGGAGTTATTTGACTGAGAGAAAAATCTAATCAGCTACAGCTGATATTCTCTAGGTATTTAGTCCTGTTATTTCCATACAGGAGCTTCTGAAGGCCTCCAGCTAAGTGTGCCTTGTACTTAAGGACAACCCCCTGGAAACCTTAAGCTCAGATGCTCAAAGACACTTTGATATATAGAGACACTACTTAGGTACAACTGATCCCTCTGCAACAGTAGTCCAAGTGACACTGACTGCACTGCTTTGTGAAGTCATTCCCCACTCAGCTTTCCCGTGTCTTCCATGGGTTTATAACTTCTGTGATCTTCTTCCTAAGCTAATACATCCTAATACATGTTAATCTTTTCATTTAAGTGTTGTTCTGTGCTTGTGACTGTTCTTATCACCTTTCCAGCACTCTTTTTTTTTTTCCCCATTTATTTAAAACTGCCTTTCTTTTTGAGGTGAGCAGAACTTCGCAGTTGCCAAGGGGTGGATGCATATGAATTTACAGGCATAATTTGTTCTCTCTTTTGTCTTCCATCCCTTCCCCTATCTACACATAGCACTGTTTACCTTTTTGACTTTTGCTGAACACTGGATAGTTTAGAAAACTCCTGTTCACAGTGGACCCCACATCCTTCCTAAGGGGAAGTGGGTAACTTAGAATGTACTGCTGTATGTATAGAGTTGGCTTTCCAAAATACACACATATAGGTATTTCTATATGTTTTATCACTCCACCAATTTCATAAATTTCTTTTATAACTCCTTGCAATCAGGTTTTCACTACCTCATATAATTCTCTTACCCCACTAATTCACACTGCTCGGGCAAGCTTATCCTACGATCTCTCTTACAGTATCAGCTAGGAGGTTTTAATTAAGGGTTGAGGCCTCCTTCGCTGAACACAGAAGTACTACAGCAGAAAGTCACTTTCCCAGAGCTCCCACAGAGGCAGCAAACTTGTGCAAGCAGCTGAAGGAGGAACTGAAAAGCACTAGAGGGGACAGTGTTTACAACAGTGCAGACAATGATTCAGAAAGAGGAAAACACGTCGGAGCAATGAAGCAGGAAAGAGGCCCACAGAGCGATGATTAGGACAGCGAGTTATTATGAGAGCAGAAAAGGAGAGACTGTAGAGAGTCAACTGTACAGAGCTCACGCTGGGAGAGAGTAATCTCTTTGCTAGCCTCTGTCCTAAGCTTGGAAGGAGAACTAACACAGGAATTCAGATGGGCATTCACCTGAGACGGGGAAATCTTAACAGAGGTAGCAGTGCTCATCAGATTTTAGGCTTTCTCTAAATTACAGGGAACATCATCTATTTATAGGCATGTACCTAATATATATAGGCGATGCCAATAAGCATTTCCAGACCACACTAAATAAAGTGCTAAAGTGCTGCAGAACACATGGAGAAGAGCCCTCTCCTGAAAGGCGATGGCATGCTCCGTTGAGAATTCATGTGTCACGGGGCAGTATCTCAGGTTTTCCCTTTGATTCTAGTTGCTCCATCCCTTCATTTTGTCTGCTGCTTCTGCTTGTTTGTAGGTGACTGCTGGTTCCTGGCTGCCATTGCTTGCCTGACACTGAATAAAAAACTACTCTGTAGAGTCATACCTCATGACCAGTCCTTTATCCAAAACTATGCTGGCATCTTTCACTTCCAGGTGAGTCCCTTCATCTAGCAGGAGGCAGATGTAACTCTACCCCAGAGAGAAGGCTCAGCTCTCGGGCATGCTCTTCCCTCTCGCTTCTCCCCCCTTTGGAAGTGTGACCAACAGCAGGGAAGGAAGAGGGATTGAATTGCCTCACCCTAACCACTTCCCACAGGGCAGTCACAGAGGGACTGGCCTGTACAGGCAATTAGGGAGCATTAACCCACCAAAGAAGCATTTGCAGATCGCTGTGTCCTGCGCCTAAGGGATAGCAACAGGTGCCCCGTCCTGCCTGGCTGCTCAGATGTGGTGCTGCAGCCAGCACAGACATGCTGCTGGTTGGCAAGAGCCTCTATTTTTAGGCCCACAAGCAGCTGGTCTGTCAAAAACAAGTTATTGAAGAACTGCTTATACAGAAAAGATTGACTGCTTTCCATATTTCCCTTGGCTCTCCTAAGGGACTTCTCACTGTCCCACACGCGCTGTCTGGGGGAATGCAGCCCAGCTGCCTCCCTCCCAACCGCCAACGCTTTTTGCCACATCACCAAGCAGTTAATTTCCACATTTCTTCTCCCTCAGCCTGGCTTCTCAACCAGGCTCCCCCTCCTTGCACCAACTCAACCCAGGGGCTATTTTCTGTTTGTCCAGTTCTGGCGCTATGGAGACTGGGTGGACGTCGTCATTGATGACTGCTTACCCACGTACAACAACCAGCTGGTCTTCACCAAGTCCTCCCAGCGCAACGAGTTCTGGAGCGCCCTCCTGGAAAAGGCCTATGCAAAGTAAAGCGACCCACTGGACTGTGCTGCGCTCCCTGACGGGGCTTTGACTGGGGAGGTGGTTAAATCACTGGGTACAGGACCTGTAATGAGTGCGTGGAGAGGCTCTGAACATACCCAGTGCCTTTTCCCATAGGTTTTCATGCCTCAGAATTGGGGATGGGGTAAAATATATTTTCCTAGGGGGTTTTGCTACCCATTCAGAGGCCTACATTTGATTCTCAACATCTTTTTCTCATTTGATGTGTGCAGGTGGCATGTTTTACAACTTTTAACTTGAGGGTTACCAAACAGATGGTTTGTGGGTTTTTTTAGTATGTGTGTTTACATATCTTCGTTTATACACATACACACACAAGAGAAATAATATCATGTATAAAATATGTATATTTAGGTAGGTATCTTTATCTGTGCAAAAGAGAACCTTATTTTTCTTTTCTCTTTCCAAGACTCCATGGGTCATATGAAGCTTTGAAAGGAGGCAACACCACCGAAGCCATGGAGGACTTCACCGGAGGAGTCACAGAGTTCTACGAGATAAGGGATGCACCTAAAGATACCTATAAAATCATGAAACATGCGATTGACAGAGGATCCCTCATGGCCAGCTCCATTGATGTGAGTTCATATGAACTTTGCAGATGAGCCATAAGAAATGGCAGAGGAGAGGGACTTCTCCAGCCTTAATCAAAATATATGCCACCTTTTGGAATTGCTTGGTTTAGTCCACATGGCAAACAACCATTTCTAGGAGACAGTGTAACCTCCACTAGCCACCATCCATTAGCAAACAGCGAGTGCCCAAAGGGGAACGAACCAAAGCAGAACATGGAGGTGGGAGAAGGGGTGCGATCAGCAAAACCGGCACCCTCCACCCTCAGTGCCCTTGCCCGATAAAAGGAGGTTAGTAGGGGGGTGCCGCAACTCTATTAAGACAACAAATCTTCATGTCAAAGATGGCACGTGTGCAAATGCTTGGGAATTCAATCCTTCAGTTGACAACATAGTCTTACTTTGTCTTCATTTACTGTGGTTAATTTAAAAGTTAAAGTAAAAACCAGATTCAATAACCATTATGAAGTCTGAAGTTGTAGCGAAGGCAGAAGAACCAACCACTGGAGATAGGTATGGACCATCTTGCATGTATTGAGAGATGTTACCTAGGCTATCTTTTACCCCTCATCTTTCTTGTATCGGTTCTCTTCCTGCCTCATCTTTCTGCATGATACTTTTCTCCCATTCTCTGTACCAGGATAACCTAGGCTTTTCCTATGGATCAGCTCCTCGGAGCGACATTGGGGAACTGATTGCTCGAATGGTGAAGAACCTAGAAAACGCGCAGATGGCTCACCCCATTGTTGACTACCAGGGGACAGACGAAAGGCCAGCCTGGGTTCGTACGTCTCCAGAAGCGGTTGACTTCACAGGGCTTTTATTTGCAGACAGAAGAGTTAAAGAAACATATAATCTGTGCTTTTAAATCCTTATTTGGCTTCACAGAGTTATCCCAACACTGAAGACCTGTTCTTGTGGATGCTGTTTGACATATGTATTAAAGGATTTCTGTACTTTCAAACACAATGACTGACACTAGAGGGCTTTGCTGATACTGAGGCAAAGGACTGTTGGCTTGTGGCAAAGGTTTACCATTTCCAGAGCTTTCCTTTTGGTAGAGTAGAAACAGAAAGCAAAAATCACATCAAATACGTCGAAGTGGCACACTGATTATTGTATTTGGGAACTGGACATGATTAGTGGATTTTATAAAGTCCCTTGCTAGCAAAGATGAAGAGAGCAAGAAAATTAAATTAGGAGAATGGCACAAGATCCCCAAGTGTGGAGGAGGTGTCAAGGAAAGAAAAAGCAAGCCCTGCACAGCTCTCACTCCAGGCACTAAAGCTCTTGGTCAACTTATTTGGAGACAGAGAGTGCTATGGCGCTCTGCCCACCAATGGAGGGGAGTCTGCTCCAGGGATGCTCCTTTCAGATTCCTGCCTTTACGCATTTTAAATGTGTAACAAGGTAAGTGAAAAACATGTCCAGTTCTACATGCGTGATAAACTCCAGCAGACCTAAGTATCTAGCAAAATAGAGAAAGGGATGTTAAAACCATTAAAGGAAAATCCCATGTTGGGAAACTTAAAAGCTTCCAAAGCTGTAGGACACTCATACCCCGCCCTTTAGGGAGCTGCATTTCCATGACAATGAAATTACATCTCTCACTTTACACAGAGGAAAAAAAGCAAAACCCACCCCAATTACATCATCTAAAACTTTTGGTTGCGCAAACCATCTTCTGCATTTGCAGCAGAAATAGCTGATTTTTCCTCTTTTGACACCCATATTTAGCCTTCCTAAAATATTGAAATGGTGTAATTCTTCAGGAAATCCCAGTATGACTGCTTTGTTTTGCAAGCATGGCTGCCCAAGTCACCCAGGTTTTTTGGGGAATTTCCTCCCCAGTGGCTCTCGGATCAAAGAAGGTTGGAAAACTCTCTATAGTTGCTGCCCCTGCAGCCGTTTTGCTGCTGGTTATTACACATTCCTGAGCCATCACCAGAAACAATTACAAAAAAATCACAGCTCTTGATGGAAAGAGGCAGATAATGCAAACTTCAGAAGCACTTTAGAGAAGTGGCCCAGGGCATCAGCAGAAGTTAGTATTCTTAAACAGAAAAGAGAAGGGGGTTCTTCTAAATAATGATAGCAACAACATGACTAGAAATGAAGAAAAAAAGGAAATAGATATGAGGTTATAGGCATTAAGTGCCTACATGAGCAAGGGGAAAAAAAAAAGAAAACCACCAGGATCAGAGGGAAATAATGGAAAATAATTGTGACGGCCAGGAAATAGTTGGATGAGATCCTCCCTGTGCAAGCTGAGAATGCATCTGTGTGACCTTACTAATTCTCTGTTTCCAGCCCTGCCTTTCTCATGCCCTCAGATGGGTCCAGAAGGGAAAGCAGAGTTACTGGCAAGGCCTTGCAGTCATCTCTCAGTGACGGATATTAGGGGGGAAGGGGGAGTTTTGCACCTGGTTCACATGTACGTAGCGGAGCCTGCCCTTCCCACTGTTCTTGGCGATGTCTCCTATGTACACAGCAGACTCTGTGCATCTGCTGCCTTCCTCTCAATTCTTTATCTTCTAGATGAACAGCATTCTGAGATCGGGGGTGTGTGTGTGTGTGTGTGTGTGTGTGCAGGACAATCTGGCACACTAGCAGTTGATTACCAAGACAGCAAATATATTTATACCTGAGCAATACATTGCTGAAGAAAAGCTATGCTTTTCCTGAATATCAGCTGGAAAAAAAGACAATCATGAGGATTTTAATGATTATGGAATAAAATGTACATCTCCACAGGAATTATTTTTAAAAGTAAGTTAGTGGGAACAGTGTGTTATATAGGGTGTTTTAATGTCATTGTGGTAAGATTGCAGCCATGTGTAAACATGAAAATATTCTCCTAGGTGTTGATCTGCTCTGATGTTTCCAGTTAATATGTAATAACCTTACTGATCCATATGAGAACATACTATCCCAGAAAGTGCTGAATAGTCCTACTAATAGAAAATCTATTTTTATTAAGCACGCTCTATACTAGCATGTTCTGAGTGCAAAAAGTAGTAACCTACACAAAGGGAAAAAGTAAATCACAAAATGTCCTTTCCAATTGATATTATTTTTTGCTTTTTTAGTTCATGCTCCCTTCCTTCTAACCAACATTAATTCTGTGGGTACTAAGTTTGCCCACTCTGGCAAATGCAAAGAAGAGAACAAGACAAAACCCCCTGTCACCTGAACGGTGTCATCCTCCCTCCAAAAGCCCTGGGTGGCAATACCTGCCTTGGGTATTGCCAGATGAGCTTGGCAGGACTCTTACAAGTTTTTATCTTATGTCCAACAGACCATAGTGCCAATGCAGTATGAAACCCGGATGTCTTGCGGGCTCGTCAAAGGTCATGCCTACTCTGTCACAGCTGTGGAAGAGGTATGTAGAGTCCCTTACCTTCAGCTGTGGTCTGCACTGGCCTAGAACTATGCATGTCAAAGTTATGAGGAGAAAAAAACCAAGCCAGATTTTGAGCTAAGGAAACAAAATTTATATTTAAATAAATTAAAACCTGTCCAAGTTTTGGCTTTCTAGGGAAATGGGTATTCCACCATGGTCCACTTGGGCACATGTGGCCACAGCCAGCCACCTCCTGGTCTTACAGCCATTCCATGCTCAGCCCAAGCAGGTCAGGCTGGGCAATGGCCCAGAAAAGAACTATCATCACTGGAGAAACTAGTATCAGCCATTTAACAGGCAAAATGTTTCCTTTTGAACCTACTCTCAGTCTATTCTTGTTGCATTCCTTTTCATTTAGACAACATTTAAAGGGGAAAAAATACGTCTGATAAGGCTGAGAAACCCCTGGGGGCAGGTGGAATGGAACGGACCTTGGAGTGACAAGTGAGTAAAACAGGAGCTTTGTGTGATTGAAAGAAGAAAAGAAAACCCCAACTTTCAGCTTTGTTTGCCCTTATGCAGCTTGTGCATGACCCTAACATTTACTGACGAGATCTGAATTGTCTTTGCTGTCATTTTGACACATGCACTTTGAAGTTGATCATACTTGAGTGCTCAGCTGAAGCCGTGAAAAAAGTTCCTAAAAAAGATGTTAAGAGAGGCTTCAATCAAGGGAAATGAAGAGAGTCCCCAGTCAGTCTGATTTTACTGTCTGGAAAGTTCAGCAATGTCCATTTTCAAAACAAGATATGACAGTAGGAAAATCTTTTAAGTTATGGAAGAACTAGATGAAGCGAGATGTCAGTACAGCATTGAGTTTGGATAAAGCTTCTCATTAGCTTTTGCTAAAAAGAATTTCAATAGCTACTCCAGCAATGAGAGTCTGCAAACACGGTTGTCTTCAAGCTAAAGAAAATGAACACGATTCAGCACATTTTTGAGAGCATCTAAGAGGAAGCCTGAAGTGAAGTCAGAGAGGAGTATGTCAGTTGTTCTTTATGTGGGCATGTGGAGAGGAGGGTAGCATTGACAACAAATGGTTGCAAGGCTCACAAAGGAAAACTTATATGGATGTTGCAAGATGACTCTCGACTTTCCATTCTACAAGGCTTACAGTAAACTGTAGAAATTTTAATGAAAACTGTATTGCAAATCGTAACCTAACTTGTGTACTCTTTTGAAGGTCAGAGGAGTGGAACTTCATTAACGAAGCAGAGAAAACCCGCCTGCAGCACAAGATCGTGGAGGATGGGGAGTTCTGGTGAGAACATCAGTCAAAAAAACTGTGTTTCTCTAGGAGACATTCAATTATAGCAAAAAATAATCACACTGCACTACTTAAATTTGCTAAAACCATTGAAATAATCCCTGTTCACCTTCATATATTTGGATATCAGGAAGAAATTCTTCACGGAGAGGGTGGTGAAGCACTGGAACAGGTTGCCCAGAGAAGCTGTGGATGCCCCATCCCTGGATGTCTTCAAGGCCAGGCTGGATGAGGCTTTGAGCAACCTGGTCTAGTGCAAGGTGTCCCTGCCCATGGCAGGGGGATTGGAACTAGATGGGCTTTAAGGTCCCTTCCAACCCAAACCATGCTATGATTCTATGATATTCCCAATAAGCCTTGCTCTGTGATCCCCTCATTCTCTCAACTGTGTTTATTGAGTGCCACCAGCACAGTCTTAATTATGCCACACTTCCACAAGCTCTCCATCTCCCTTCCTCCATACCATCCTCTCAGCCCAGCATCCCCTATTTTGGAGCTGTGTCTGTGTTAATTGACCAATCAGCAGGCCAAATGCATTAGGAAACCATGTCACTCACACTTCAAACTTGCCCTAATAGTGGCAGTAACATGGGTCATCCTCCTCTACCTCACCAGGACCTTTCAGACAACTGCCCACCATGTAAATCCACTTGGGTTCAGTTTCCCCTCACTTCCTCCAGGATCTCATTTGAAGATTTCATGAGGCACTTCACAAAACTTGAGATCTGTAACCTCACCCCTGATACTCTGGAAGCTGATAAACTCCAGACCTGGACTGTGTCAGTCAACGAAGGGCGCTGGGTGAGAGGCTGCTCCGCTGGGGGTTGCCGCAACTACCCAGGTGAGCAACGGGTCTTAAGAGAGATAAGGCCGCTTTAATGGGGACGGTGCTAAACCCCACAGGCTAAGTCATACCACAGCCTGATCAGTGATCAGCCATAGGAAAAGCCTTACTTCCTCAGTGGATGATGGTTTTTGTAGCTGGAAATCTTCTGTCACAAGGTTTGTGACAGTCCCGCGCAAGCCCAAAAGGCAGGCCTGGCAAAGATAATCATTCAAATACTTCACAGTGCCCCAGGTAACATGAGAGAGCTCAATTTCACTCTAACAGATTTCACTTGGGAAATCCACCTTCTGATAGCTTTAGGTGCTTTGGAAGTTTATCAGATGCCAATTCTTCATTTTATATCCTCCTTTGCTGTACAGTTTTGTTAAAACTATGCAAAAACTGTAACACATTTAAAAAAAAAAAAAACAAAAAAAACCAACCCAAACATGCATTAGGCCAGGTTTTACCTTTCCCTCAGGAGCCACAGGCAGGGAACTTAAGTTCTCTTTGATCATGAGTATCGTTAGAAAACATTACATGTTTTCTTTGGGTTGTTGGTGGGATTTCACAGATACATTTTGGACCAATCCCCAGTATCGCTTGAAGCTCCTGGAGGAAGATGATGATCCTGAGGATGAACAGGTTATCTGCAGCTTCCTCGTCGCACTGATGCAGAAAAACAGGAGGAAAGAACGCAAGCTGGGAGCCAACCTGTACACCATTGGCTTTGCCATCTACGAGGTACCAGCTCTAGACTTTGTTCTTAGCGCCACGGTCGCAAATCCTGACTGTGCATTTACCAAGAGAGTCACTGCATCATTCAGCCTGACTGCACGAATTGCACTTTTTACTTTGCAAGGAACTCAGGGGAAACCTGGAAGAGAGGAATAAAATTCAAGGCTTCGTAACCATTCAGCCCATAGTAATCTCAGGGTTTACCTCATCTATGAGTAACACGCTTTTTAGGCTTTTATGGTGACTTAATGCCAGATTTTAACATAAATAGAATCTCCCTTTCATCCTTGCTGCAACTAAACATTTAAGTATCGTAATATTGTAAGAAAGGAAACAGACATCCAAGATGCATATTAACCTGTCCCTGCTATTGACTTCAGCCAATCAGCTCAGTCCCTTGCACAAACAGATCTAATTCAGGTCTTACTGTATCTATCTCATGCAGATGCCAAGAAATGTGGAAAGGAAGAAATAAATTGCTTAGAATAATTATAGAACTTGAGGCATTTTATCTACTGGCTGCATCCCCAGAAATCTGTGTTAAGGCCCTTCTGTATGATCTGTAAGCAAGTGGACTCACCTAGCAGCTCTGACCATTTCTTGTCTTTGTTTCTCCCTAAGGTGCCCAAAGAGGTAGGAGCAGAGCGGCGGCAGATTGACATCTTGGTGTATGCTCCCCGCTAGTGTTACTGTTGTGCCTGTCTGTAAGTGAGCAGGAAACTGTACAGTCAAGTTTGCGTTCAGGGACGTAACAAAAGTGGAACTGCTAACCTTTCAGCTTTGAGTGTTCATTAGTAACAGCTGGCGAGTAGTTTTTAATGCCCTCTCACCCGCACCCCGTTTTCACCTGCACCTTTTTTCCTTAGTCCTTCCTTTGCTGTTCATATGCCATCTGGCCATGGCCTGCACCACCGTGTGTGGTCAGCGAGCCTGGACTGCAGGAAGTGGCGTCAGTGAGCACTTTGCCATTGCATCCCACACGGGAACACCCTAAATCACTCCCATTTCCTCCTGTGAATAGTGCCAATGGCCCGTATCCTGCAGCCACAGAGTTTTCTCTGTAGTCTCTGAATTTGTTTGGAAAAACAAATGGTATTTCAGCCACTGAAGAAATGTATTAAAATCATAGAATCATAGAATGGTTTGGGTTGGAAGGGACCCTAAAGATCATCTAGTTCCAACCCCCCTGCCATGGGCAGGGACACCTTCCGCTAGACCAGGTTGCTCAAAGCCTCATCCAGCCTGGCCTTGAACACTGCCAGGGATGGGGCATCCACAGCTTCTCTGGGCAAAACTACAGAGATTAAGTTTTTCTGAGCCTATTCGGCAGTAGCTGAATCATTGGCATCACAAGTTTTGCAAACAGGGTCACCTGAAGGCTGTGTTACCTGGAAAACATGAAGGTGACAGTCTGAATGTTGCCTTTGCTGACTATTTTACATGTGGTTAGCTCTGCAGCAAACAGCTTACAAGTGTTCCTAGCCCACAATTCTTTTCACTTTTGAATCGGTGCAACATTTGATTATCATGTTTCTTTAGCAGATACAGAATTCACGTTTCGTCCAGGCAAGGACAGGTTTCCACTGAAAGCATCTTCACCTTACCACACTGCATGAAGGAGTTTGCATATACCATTCCTTGCCATGCCACTCTCCAAGGAAAGCGCTGAGCTTTGGTTATACCCAACTTAGCATCCAACAAAGCAGTCAGATAACAGTGCCTACACAGCAGAAGTCAGCCAGGTGGGCCCTGGAGCAGCCCTCAGAAGCCAACTAGACACAGCCAGTAGCAACCCAAAGGTGACAGACTCCATATCTGTTTCCAACTAGCATCCCTCATCAGGTCCCTGCTTGCTAAGCAGCTGCTTAATTTGTGTTTTCTGTCCAACCATGCACTGCCTGCATGACAAGCCACCTGGGGAATGGGTAAGACTTCCTTGAAGACAAATTAACCCATTTGTTCTGCAGATGCATGGTACTAAGCATCACTTGCAAAAGGATTTTTTCCTCTACAATGCCTCCAAAGCTAGAAGTAAGACCTATATAAACATGCGAGAAATCTCTGAGCGCTTCCGGCTACCTCCCAGCGAGTACGTCATTATCCCATCGACATATGAACCCCACCAGGAGGGAGAATTCATTCTGAGGGTCTTCTCAGAGAAAAGAAGTCTTTCAGAGTAAGTTGAAGATCCGTTTATCTGGCTATAAACATGGAGGTGAGCTCATTAGTCTGCTCTAGTCATGTGCCCAGTTTGCTCCATCCTCCTTTTAATTTTCTTAACCTCATTAGAAACTCCATGCTGCAAACTCATGTCTCCAAGCTTCCCTGATATTGAACAAGAACCTTCTTTGAATTGTCTTTGGAGAAGCTAGCTTCTTGCAGGATATCTTTTGTAAACACACCATTAACCATTTTTAATAATGACAATGAACCTGTTTGGGTTTTATTGCTGTATGCCACTGGCTGAAGTTTTGGCCAGATACGTCATTGAACCAGCTCTAATTTCAGTCATGAATGAAACAAAGAAGTAGGTAGTTATTTCTTTTCTATCCTGTTTTTCAACTAGTTTCCCAGACCTCGGCAAATTGCAGCCAGTGTCACTCTCCTTAGGCCAAACAGCTTCTGCTTTACTCCCAGCTGTCAAAGTTCAGTGTTATCAAGGCTCTTCAGAGGAGTAAACAAGGCAGCAATGCTCCTGGAAGCGGTACTTGGGATGCCCATCTCCATGTGGGAGACGGCTATGTCTAGAGCCTGCAGCTGTAATGCCTGGAAGCCAGCCCGCACCCCTGGCTCTTTGCAGAGTTCAGGTGGCTGCTTACAAACCAGCCACGGAAATAAGTAACATTGGAAACAGTCACTTTCCTAATTTATTTACTTTCTGCTTTCTTCTAGGGAGGTTGAAAACATGATCGAGGCAGAGCGTCCCTCGGTAAGTACTGTCCAGGGCCACTTTTGTACGTGAACAGGAGTGGGGAGAGGAAAGGCATCACAGCTAGGGGAACCTACAGCAGAAAAACATCTGTGGCCACACGACAGCTCCTTTAGCATAAATTCCTACATTTTCCCATCAAGATATTTATTAACACTTGCTTTATATACACTACTTTCTAATTTGGACAGACCAAAATCTTTTGCCAGATTTGAAGTCTGCTCCTGGCATAAAGAAGCTGGATGCTAAGCACTGCCTTTGCTTTCATCAGTTGAGAGCATTTGTTTACTGGGGAGGCCTAACTCTGTGCTCTAAGATGTTTGTGTCTGTGAAACAGGCACCTCATCTAATGAAGAAAAAAAAAAAAGCACCTTATTTTGAAGTACATGTTTTCTGGAAAGGGATCCTACTAATACTATGGTTCAAACTAGCATCCATGACAAGCTCTAACTCTTCATTCTGGAGTTTTACACATCTATATGGGAATATACTAGAGAGAACAATACAATGAGCTGTAAAAAAGCCAGAGGAAATGCTTTTGCACAGAACAGAATGCCATCAAACCTAGCTCAGAAGTGTTCCACTTTTGTTTGCTGTTATCACAACAAAAATAGCTGTCCAGATCTGGTGGAATTTAATTGCCACTTCAGATAATGTTGATCTGTGGACACAGAATTCCAGCCTCCACTGCACTGGCTGGGAAAAAGAAAAGGAATAGTCAGAGCTAGAGGTACAATAGAGATTTTATTCAAGCAGACAAAGCCCCTGCTGAGATGGGACACTTTTGCTAGTGTTTCTGCAATTTCTGTCCTTCAGTATGCAATTTCTTTCTGGGTGCATTTTCCTTTATGTTTGGAGATCTGAAAACTGTGTGAATATAGGAAATGAGGAAACGTGTATGAATATAGGAATGGGAAAAATAAATGTGAGAAAGAGCAAGAGAAAAAAAACAACCTTTACCGTCAACTCTGCAAAATCTGGGTAAAATCTATAATTCTGTTTAAAAGCACTTCTTTAACATTTTTGTCTCTTTTTGTGCAGAAGAAGAAAAAGCGCAAGGTGGGTACCTGTGTTCTGTGCTGAGTGCCGGCAAGGCAAAGAGCATGTGCAACGTGCGCAGTAGGGGCAGAGTTCCTTGGCATCGCGATTTCTCTGCACCTGGAAACCGGCCTAGTTAGCGAAGGGATAGGAGCTCATTCACAGGCAGCAGAGATTTTGTCTTCCTACACTAAGTTCTGATGCATTAGCATCATACCCCCCTCTCACTCAAGGGGGTGGCAAAGGGGTAACAGAAGCTTTTCAGCTTTATCAGCTTGACCCTCTGGGTTGCTCTTCCCTCCTGCCCTCCACAGGCACCCTGACACCCCTTTCAATTGAAAAGCCCCCCCTTCTCCAGACACGTGCCCTCACATGCACTTTCCATTGCCTAATGCAGCTAATACTCCTTCCTGAATTTCCGCTCACCCAAGTCCAGGGTTGTCTCTTTCGGTTCTACACAACACATGCCGGACCCCGAAATATAACCAGGCATTTTAAATCTCAAGACAGGCTGATTGCAAATAATACCCTCGGGTAACACACGTGCACCTTGCAGCAGCTTTCCTTGCTCTGAATGCGGTACAACAGAACAATTGCACGTGGCTGCTTCCAGCTGGATGCTTCAAGAATTAATACAAAGCACATACGCTTCGCATAGCTAACAAGCTCCTGCACGAACGCTCCCCTTCTGTGCAGGTCTCTCTGTTTTCAGCACTACCGTCCTTCACAGAGAGGGGAGAGTTCATCACTTTGAGAGTTGAGCATCTGGGAGGCTTATTTTGCTTAAAAAAAAAAAAGAGAAACACATAAATGGTTCCCGGCTTTCTGAAAAGGAAAGCTAGAAGACAGACTGCACTATTTTGCAAAAAGACTTTTTCAGATTGTTTTAGCATGAGGAGAGCAGTAACTTCCAAAATTCCTCAACCTTTTTATTCTTTCATTCCCAGCTCTGGCTTCTCCAGTCACGCTTTCAGGGGCCGAAGCTGTTGCTGCATGCGCTTTACCACAGAATGGCCGTGGTAAATTTTTTCCCTTCCAGATTTTCCCTTCCACTCTCTCTTGTGTAATTTCCATTTCTCTTTTACTCTCTTCCTCCTTCTTCTAGCCCATCATCTTTGTTTCCGACAGAGCAAACAGCAATAAGGAGCTGACAGCAGATGAAGATGCCACCAAAGATGGTGAAAAAAACAAAGATGAGAAAAAGGTTTCTGCAGCAAGTGGCAAAGGGGGAAACAGGGCTTGGTCTGGCTCATGTGAAAAATCGGCTGGGGAGAGCACAGGAATGGGGCCAATACTTAACAGCTTTTCATCAAGTCTTAGCATAACTTGCAGCTGGTTTATGTCGATCTAATGAGCATGAGCAAACAGAAACTATCAGTTATTTAACACCTGTGCTGCAGGGTTTAGTTGCTTGAAAACACCTCCTGGTTGCCGTCTCATACAAGGATTGAGATCCCTTCCCCACGAGCAGCGCAGTTCAATCCACTCTTGCTCCGCTCCCTGAGGTGGTACCCGCTTTACAGGGGGCACAGGCATAAGTTACACCTGAGGAGCTTCACGAGCTCCTGACAATGGCCACAGCCTCCCCCTGTTACAAATTACACATCGCTATCCAGGATGGGGCTGGTGGTGGGAGTAAAATACAGTTTCCTTTTTCAGTACCAGCCTCAGAGTTCAGGCTTGCTCTTTGCATATGTCTGAGAAAGCTTCGCTTTCATGGTTTTCCTCTGTCTCGTGTTACCTGTCTCCAGCAAGGACCCCCCCGACATTCAAAGAGCTCTCAAGTCCGAGTCCCTCTGCTCAGTTCACAGACTACAGGGTGGCTGTAGGGCAGATGTGCCTCTTCTGCAGTATTTTGAAACAAACAAAAATAAAACCCAAAGAAGATAAACACCTGTCAGTGAAAGTAATCATTTAGGAAGAGGAAGGAGAGCAATGGGATGAAGTTAAACACTCAGCAGTTTTGCCAAGGAACACCTTTAACCAAGAAAAAGGGGAAGGGAACAGGAGGACAGCCCATTCCTCCAAAGATCTGCAGATTCACTAAGAGGCTCCCTCGTGCGAGGGCTAGCAAGCTGCCCAGGCCCTTCCCCGCTGGGCTAAGGAAGTCTCTCTTCTTCGCTTGTCTCTTTCCAGCATCCTTCAACAAAAGCTCATGAGGGGAGTGAAGAGGAAAAGCAGTTCAGGAATATTTTCCGACAGATTGCAGGGGATGTGAGTATGCGACTGATCCCTGTCTCTGCCGTCAAAGCAACCACAGCACACCAGCCACAACAGCACCTGGTCTAGTGGAAGGTGTCCCTGCCCATGGCAGGGGGGTTGGAACTAGATGGTCTTTAAGGTCCCTTCCAATCCAAACCGTTCTGCGATTCTGTGAAATCAATGGCTTTACGGATTCAAACCACCAAGTCTTAAAATTTCCTTTGAATTCCCTTTCATCAAACCTCCTTTGAGATCTGAAGTTAAGCAAAGTGAGATTGAAACCCAATTAAGTATACAGCTATCCTCATCTATACCTATAAGCTATTCCCACTGTGTACGAGGGAGCCTTATTTAAATTCAGGCTTTGACTTCTCTCGTTACTACAAGGTGCTGTTTGGCACAGCATGTATAAACAAGTTAGAATTTCAGTGCCCTCCAGTAATGCTTAACGAGGGGAGTTAAAAGTAAAAACAGAGCGAAGAACTGCATAAATCAAGAGGCTGCAAATGGGTTACAGAGATTTTCACATTTTGCTTTTTGGCTTACACAGTGGCTTGAAATTATTGGTCGTTCTTCTAGCTGTAGTTTCATAAGCACTGCGCAGTAACTTTAGACCCACCACGTACTGCAGCCTCAAGAAAGATTTGGAGTAATGTTTATGTGAGCTAGAATGCTCTCTAGTTTGAAGCGTGTGTATGCCATACTGAAAAGTGACTAAAGACTTTGTACTTTTAGCATTTGCAGCCATAAAATGATCTGCTTAATAAGAAATGTTGTAATTAAAGATATTCTCACCACACTTCCCACCAGGACATGGAGATCAATGCTGAAGAACTCAGGAATGTTCTCAATAACGTCGTAAAAAAACGTGAGTTTGAGCATGCTTTTCACTAACCCTGAACAAAGAATCCTGTGCTGTAACATAAGCCTCCAGCCCTGAGTTGCACTCTAAAAACCATTTATGGTTTCAAACTCAGTTTCCTAGTTACACTTCCATGGACTTTGCACCTGAGACTTTAGCATGCCGTACTTTTCAGAGAGATGCTCTCTACGAGTGACCAAGTACTGATAATGCAGAAATGAGCAAATGCCCATTGGAAGCACCACACAGGATACTGCTGCACTTCCAGCAGGCTGCAAAGGCCCTTAAGGAAAAAAAAAAAAAATCATCTAACGGAGAAGCAAACCCTTCTCCCTCTTTAGCAAACTTTAGCTTGGGCTTGCTTAGTTACCTGGAAGTTTGTTCAACGTTTTCCAGAGGTTTTAATTGTATATAACAGGTCAAGAGAAGTAATCTCTAAATCACAAGCAATACCATTACTTTGAGTTTTTTCAGATTTCTCCACCGCTCATTTCTTAGTGGCTGAAGGAAGTAGGTTTCACTTCTACTTGGAGTAGAGTTACAGCTGAAGAGGAAGAAGTGCTTGCTAGCTTGCATGATTTGTTCTCACCTGGGATCATTTATTTCAGATAAGGACCTAAGGACAGAAGGATTTGAACTGGAATCCTGCCGCAGCATGATTGCTTTAATGGATGTATCCTTTTCTGGTGAAACTGGAGTGCTTGAGGGCATTCTAGTCCACTTGGGCTGTATTTCCCACCACTACACGCACACAGAGCTTAGTAACCCAGGGAAGCAGAACGGTACATCTTAGTCTGTAGTCAGATAACACAGCATTCCTGGCTTGGCACATCTGAACTCCAGTCATCTACACATTAGCATCTCTGGCAGATGAAAATATCCCAAACCAGAAAACCGCAGAGTAAGTCAGCATGATACCCGTCTTAAGGCATCAGCGACTGGCCAGCTCATCTACTAGAGCATGACGTAAAAAAAATTAACATTTTAAACCAACTCAACATAACTACAGTTCTTGCCAACCAACTTGCTGTAGTTCTCTCCTATCTTTAAGTTCACAACGTGTTACACATTCCACTACGTGCTTCACGTGCAACGCATACAGGAATTGCCTTGGCACAAGTGTCATCGAACACACTACAGGACGCCACACGGGTGTTACCTCTGATACAACATCCCTCAGTTTTCCTGTCCGACACAACACGTGATTCTGAGAGAACACAAGCGCATTCAAACATCACCAGAACCAAACTGTAACTGCAACCCAGAGCCATAATGGTTGGAGCCTAAACACATTTTTGTAAATGGCTTTACTCAACATTTTGCTTAGTTCTCAACTCCTTTTAAGCAAGGCAGAAAGAGCTTCACTCTAGGATAAAGCTCAGTTGTCTTAAAATTTTTATGTAAGCTTCATGTCTGGAGGTATTTGGAAAGAGCTCACAAAACATCCTGCTCTCGTACAATAGCTCCAGGAGCAAGCCACTCTCCTGTACCTAATGTTTACTTCTACACAAAGTACAAATAGTGCTGAAACAAAGTACTAAGCACAATAACCAAAATGCTGACAAACCTACTGTACGGCTCAGCCAGCTCTCAATGCCGAGGAGGTCCTGAACGTGCTTTCACATTCAACCCTTCACCAATAGTTGCAGACTTAATTAATTTTCTCTTAAAAATATTGTGGGTTTTTTACCTGAATGTTTTCATCACAGACAGATGGCTCAGGGAAGATAAACTTTGATGAGTTTCGACATCTCTGGGACAAGATTAAAAGCTGGCAGGTATTGCTGGTATCTGCAGCAGTGTTATTCGCAGCTTCTGCGGCACAAAAGCTCATATAGGAAAACCAGGTCTCTCTACTTACACTGCAACGAAAAGAAAAGCTAAAAAAAATTGCAAATTAGTTCCTGAAGAGTGATGTCTCTCCCCATCCTACTAACAGCCTAAGGAAAACAGCCTGAACATCTGAAGCTCCAGCACTCAGGAAAGGTCTTTCCCCCATGAGAATAGCATGGATGCATGCAAATTGGAGGAGGAGGAGGAGGAGGAGGGGAATTCAGCATAGGCCTCACAAATAGTTTAATTAGGGCAATCAAGAGAGAGGATTAACAGCATCGACTCCAGTCAAACAAGGAGAGTCTCTAGGGGAGAGTTTTTTGCTTCTCACAGCATGGATCTAAATTATTGTACTCCGTGACTGAGAGGAGCCCTGTGCTAACAACCCAGGCTGCCCAGCAGCAGCAATATAGGGCAGATGGCAAAGCCTCCAAGTGCCCGAGGCACACATCCCATAGACAGTCAGTGGGTGCATTCAACAGAAGTACAAGCTTTTCTTTCTTTTGTGTATTTATTCTCCTCTTTTTCCAGAAAATTTTCAAGCATTACGACACGGATCATTCAGGAACCATTAACAGCTACGAGATGCGCAATGCAGTCAAAGATGCAGGTACTTCCCCCCCCTCCTCTGTGTCCAGGGCCCAAGAGCTGAAGAAACACAATTTTGGTTGATGTATCACAGGGTGAGACCAGGAACATGGTGCTGCCTTTTAAAGACAGACCCTAGAGAAATTAAAAAGTGTTTTATTTCCCCCACGACAGCGTCTCAAATACCCAAATGGCAAGCCTTGTATGTCTTGCCAACCAAATAGATCTCTTGAGCTCTTTAAACTTTCCAGTGAATGATGCTTTGCTGTCGTAAGAGTCCCCCACCCAGGGTCCTGCTGTTCAGGGGAACCAGGGATGGCTGAAGACATTGGCTCTCATTTAAGCTGTGGATTCTTTCTGTTTGTGTAAGTAACAAAGAACAGTGGAAAACCTTCAGTCCAAGCGTACAGGCACTGAAAAGGAGGCAGAGCAGGTCAGTGTCCAAATTTGCATCCTAGGCAATTGGATGGATGTTTCTTGAGTCCTGCTCATGTTTCTCAGACACTGAGCCACTGGGGGCTCAGTCTCCTCTTCCACCTGTGCAGCGAGAAGTATTTTTGAAAAAATTGTAGTTAATTAAATTCGTCCTGCAAAGAGAGGCTTTTCGTGTTTCTTGTCTCAAACACACTCGTGTGCTTCTCCCTCTGGACAGCAGGCCTTTCCCAGCAAATGTCTTTACCATCTCAGGGAGCAAGATGACTTCTTTAATCAGAAAATCTGTAGCAAACCTAGATGGGATTATTTCAGTGACACTTCTTCAGCAGTATTTTGGCACATCAGTTGCCAGTTTGTTAAAGAACAGAAACATGGTTATCTCGTACTTTACAAAACATCAGCAATTTGATCCTTTGCTAAGGACAAAAGTACATCTAGATTTGGACTCGCTGCAGCAGAAACACAGGTCATTTTTATTTTCCAGGTTTCTGTTCTCCCCAGGAAAGGTGTCAGTGTAAAAAAAAAAAAAAAAGCCCCAAAAAACCCCAAAAAAAAAAAAAAAAAAAAACCCACACCATAAAATTATTTAAATACCTCCTGCCCTGACTTTAAAACTAAGAATACATTTTACGATAAAAATTTCTCAGTCTTGCAGCACGTGGGCCAAGCATGACCTTGCATTTAGCCAACTACCAGTAGTACCCAAATCCCAACACCACGCCAGGGAGTTGCCTCCTTATCTACTCTTTGACTGTTGTGTAATTGTGTTTTCATACCAACTTCCTCCTGTGTTTCTGTCGCCCTGTTTTTGTTGCTTTGCTCTTACCAGGCTCAGCTAAGCTGCAGGCTCTTTTGTGGAGACCTCCCCTCTTTATACTTGCAGCGTGAGGCAACTCACGTGCTATTGGCACTCCCAAATCGTCATTTCAAAATGTTTTTACTTCTGTTTTAAGAAAGCAGTCTGACACATGGAAGCTCCTTAGAGCTTTACTTCATTTCACTTGGTGGCGGCAGCAGTACCGCCCAGCCTGAGCCTCGGCTGGGCCTGCAAAAGCACCTACAGCCAAACCACGCTCGAGGCCTAGCCAGCACCAGTACTTTGCCCAGGCCGTGGCCCAGCTGTGCCCCATTTCTGATCCTCTGCAGGGTTTCGGCTGAACAACCAGCTCTACGACATCATCACCATGCGCTACGCCGACAAGAACATGAACATTGACTTTGACAGCTTCATCTGCTGCTTTGTGCGCCTGGATGCCATGTTCAGTGAGTGGCTGCCCCAGTTGTACTGCGCCGCCTCCCCTCCTCGCCCCCAGCACGCACTGGCGTGCTCAAAGCAAACTTTGTTTAAGGGACTACTGCCTATGTGTATTATTAATAATTAAAGATATGCGCTTAGGGAATCTAAAATACAAGTCTCGTACAGACGCAAAAGAAACTGCTGCATTCTTGGATTAGCTAAGGAAAACCGCAGCAGAAGTACTTGCTGACCACAGAAGCGAATACCTGCACAAATTTGCATAACACCTGTGCTGGGTTCAGCCAGAAAA